AGAGAATATACCACATCCGAATCATAACAAGGACGAGGGCCGACGGCGACGGATATCAAAACCATGGCACTATGTATAACAAACAACGTACGGGTAAGATAATTATTATACGAGTAACTATATATCCAAATCACACAAACATCAGTTTTTTATATAAAATTTCATGAACAAGAGGCTCACCACAAGGTGGTGCCGACGACGGGACGGTGCGGGCGATCGACGGTGGTTACGACGGAGATTTAGAAGGCACTAAGTAAACCACACCTACATATGCAAACTAAGTGTTATTTTGACCTCAAATTGCATATAAATCAAATACTAGCACATATATATATATTTCCTCCCAAATTACTAAACTCACAAATTAATAACTATATAAAGCATTGCAAGAGCTAATCTAGCAATGAGAGATGAAAGGACAAAGTTGCTAACCTTTGTGATCACTTGAATGGATGGGGGCCTTCAAATCTTGACAATTTTTGGGCAAAATGTGTGATGAGCTCGAGGGGAGAAGAGGAAGAACAGAGAGGAGAGGAGAGGGGAAAGGGGGAAGAACAGAGCGAGCTGGACGAATGGTTTATATGCAGGAGGACCTATAGTACCGGTTCGTGGCACGAACCGGTACTAAAGGTGCTGGAGGGGGCCCAGACTGACAACATCCTGCCACCACCCTCATTAGTACCGGCTCGTGGCACGAACCGGTGCTAAAGGTTAGCCACGAACCAGTACTAATGAGAGCGGCCCGGCTAGCCGTTGGAACCGGCACTAATATATACATTTGTGCCGGCTCTAATACAAACCGGCACTAATGTGCTTCACGTTTGACCCTTTTTCTACTAGTGCTGGATGACCCGACCCAATATGGCGGGTTATATCATGGGGTCATATCCCCAATATTAGCCCACAGATTGATTTGAATTTTATTCATGTCAATCTCCGACCTTATTATCTGGCGGCTTATCTTCTGGTTAGACGTGCATCCTCTCCAGGCCCGTAAAATTCTGGCTTATGATACTCCCAGACTTGTTATTTTTCTTGTCTTCTCATCAATGACATCATCCGCTTGAAATCTAGGAAATCCATGATAACATCACAACAAATCTTGATGCATATCCACTCAACCCGAGAATCGAGGCATCACTTACCCCAAAAGTTATTGTGCCTCCTCGGTCTCCGCACCTGTCATTTTATCTCTTCGGCTCTTCGCCTTATAAATATACGCGGGCCCCCCTCTTTTCACTTTTACCTCGCCCCCGTCGCTTCTTTTTCTTCCTCGAGCCCGAGCTTTTCGTGCCGCCGCTGCTTCAGTTCATGCACCGTCGGCCAACCCGCCCAGGAGTGCAGCGCTTCCCAGTCTCCACCGGAGTTTGATTAGGCACCTCCGCCGCCCTCTGCAACCGTCATGTACACTATCCTTCTTTCTTGAGATCCGCGCTAGTTCCTTTGTAGTTCGTCGGAGTTCATTGGAGTTCACCGCTCCTTCATCACCATTGCCAGTCTAGATATAGTTTTTGGTGAACTTTCTCATAGAAATATAGCGGAGCTAGTGATGGCACCATTTTTGCACCTACAAAACTCCCCTCAAGAATCCGTAAGTTAGACAACCACTGCTATCATGGCTTCGTCCTAGGTTTAGCAATTATTTTTCTTTTTTGAACTGTCTGTAGATCCATAATTGTAGGCACTCCCAACAGAAACTTGTTTATCAACACTTAGAAGTAAACTATAGATCCCCATTTGACAATAAGGCGTCATCTATGTTTGCCGGCTCATCCCTATGATTGTGGCCCGCCATACTTTAGAAATTGCTCTGTGGTTAAGCCGGCTTACCTATTAGGCGACTCACCCATTATAATCAATAATGCCGACTTATCTTTAATCATAGTTGTACATGCATTGCCCTTTATCACATAATTCACCAGGCGAGTTTATCGTTTCATAAAATAAAAATGATAAACGGTAAATAAAAGGAAAGGAAAAAAGAAAAAAAATAGAAACAAAAAAAGAAAAAGTAAAGTAAAAAAAGGAAAAAAAGGAAAAACCGGCAAAAGAAACAAAGCTCGGTTCAGGGAACCTACTAGAAGGTTCCCAAAACCAGGTGCTCGCTTGAAGTGGACAAGCCCGTGCGTCTGGTTCGCTTGCTTCTCTTCAGCGAAGCAGCGCCAATCAGACGCACATGGGCGTCATATAGGATCTGCCCTTCGACATGCACATGTACACAATTAATATAAATAACTAGGCTTAACGTACTAGAAGACAAAAATCGTTAATTGAGTACTCATTGCAAAGATCACTCCCATTTCCCCAAGTTGCAACAAGTGGCGCGCTGCATGTGCGCCACTTGTCACAAGCTGAGAGTTTTCCCTTTTTTTGTAGATCCGTTTATTCAAAACGTTTTACTCTTAAACCGTGCGTCCAAATCTTGAATCGTTTTCATCATTGGATTCCTCGCGTCAAGATCTTCAAAACTAGATCCCATATTGATAGGTTTTGACGAACTTTTTTCATGAAAAAATCGGACAAAAAAACCGGACGAAAAAACCGAACCGGAAGCACGGGTTTTTTCCCTTTTCGAAGAGGCACACTGAGCCTCTCGCGAAATCACAACCGTGCCTCTCGCGGAAACAAAACCATACCTCTCGCGGAAGGAAAAAAAATAGAAAACGCGTTTTTTTTTGGTTTCCGAGGGGCACAACTGTGCTTCTTCCGGAAGGAAAAAAAATAGAAAACGCGTTTTATTTGCTTCCGAGAGGTACGGCGGTGACTCTCGTGAAAACACAACCGTGCGTCTTGCGGAAGCAAAATCGTGCCTCTCGCGGAAGAAAATGAAACAGAAAACGCGTTTTTTTTCGTTTCCGAGAGGCACGGCCGTGACTCTCGCAAAAGCACAACCGTGCCTCTCGCGGAAGGAAAAAAAAGAAAATGCGTTTGTTGTTCATTTCCGAGAGGCACGGCCCTGACTCTGACAAAAGTAAAACCGTGCCTCTCGCAGAAGCAAAAGTGTAACTCTCGTGAAAGAAAAAAACGCGTTTTTTCGCGCAATTTTTTTCCTATTTTTTTAATCCAAAAGCTAAGGAAGACCGGTGGAAAACCGAAACATCAAAAGAAAACTATTTAAAAAACCGAAAACGTGTGCGGGAAAATAGAAAAAATAAAATCCGGAGGAAGCGCCCAGAGCGCAACACGTGGCGGGCGGCTGAGAGCGCACCAAGTGGCGCTGATAGTTGTGATGCTATCGAAGGAGCGCTCGTCAACTAGTTGCTCCCACTAGAAGATAGGCGCTCATGAAGCTCAAATGGCTATGGCCAATGCAACCCATTTTGCACCTGTTTATGTTTTTATTAAGAATTTGTAGATAGTATGTAAATTATGATTTCAGTAATAAATATAACCTTTTGATATTCGTGTGTTATAAATATTGTCCATACAAACGAAATAACCTACTTTCAAAATTATTCATGTATTATTTTAAAATATTGGCATATATAAAATTATATTTATGAAAAAAATTCAATCATGTACAATATTTAAATTGATAAATTTTCTGAAGTCATTAGTAAACAAAGAATACACAAGTGAATATCCATAAATATTTAGTAAATATTTGTATTCATCATTTTGTATAATTTAAATATAAACCATGAATGTATATTTTTTTATGGATTCACTAAACATATTTATGTAATAAAATATATTCAATGTCCGCATAAACTAAATATTTTTAGTATAATACACAGGTTTATATTTAGATGTTTTTATGTGCTACTGGTCATTTGTATGTATAATGTTCTTAACAAACAAATATTTTTACATAACTTTATTACATACTTTTTAAAATATCTAAACAAGTATCCTTAATGTTTTTATTACTAACATTTCACTAAATATTTTTTATAGAATACATGTTTATATTTAAGTTTTCGATTAATAATCATTGTATGTATGTATAATGTTTTTAACACATAAATATTTCAAAAACAAATTACTTACGTTTTACAAATATACATAAAAATAACGCGTGCAAAATGGGCTGCAGTATCTCCAGCCCATTTAAGCTCCCCATGCGTTTTCGCTCAGTACGTATGAATATTTGTTTTCTGAAACTCTTGGTACGTATGAATTTGTTACACATAGTAGACATGTGAAAATGTTTGGCTGAGTCACTAAATTGGCTAGTGTTTTAAGCGTTGGTCGCGGGTTCAGCACCTGCGCGCACCTATTTTTCATGGTAATTTTCCCATTGCTGGTTTGCTTTTCTGCAGATAAAAAATTGCAAGGTTTTTACTTTTTTGCAAAAATGCATCCCAGCTTTTTCCATGAATAAAAAAATAAAGCTTCTTTGTGCAAAAATAATCCATGAATAAACAAATATAAAGGTGCTTTGTGCAAAATATGCATCATCCGAGCACCTTCACTCACTGCCAGATGGGGCCATACACATGGATACGCCCATGTACGCATTTGTGACCACATGTGCACACTCGAGTCAATTTAAATGACTACAATTCCGTATTTTTAAAGTTTTAGCACCAAACCAAATATCAAGTGCAAGTTCACGGCTACCGGTGATATTACCTCTAATCTTTCCCATGACTGAAATCCAAGCACATTGTGCAATATTGCAGGTGAAATACTACAGAACATGAGACAGGATATATTTGCATTTTACACTGGATACATACACATCACCCACGAGGTGTAACGCTGCGCATGCACCCTGCTACTCCTTCACAAAACACATACTTAGGCGTAACCGATCTGACATTCCATATGACCAGATAAAAACAATAAGTTCAAATGAAGATAGCAAAATACTTGGTAGACAATTAAGCAGGGTTGCTGAAATTTAATTAGTACTACACTTTTTCGTACGGACCATCTCATACTGAGACTGCAATAAAGTCAACCATGATCAGCCTATGTTCAATAATACCTGGTGAACCAACATGCCAAAAATTCCCTTCAGACTAAGAACAAGCAGTTTCAGCTAGCTGTGAGCCTTATGGTTTCTTCAGGCCCTCAACCAATGATTTCAATAGTTCTTCTTTCGAGATCCTATCATTATGAGCTTTCAATATTTCTTTGTAGGCTCGAAAAAGAGCATACTTATTCACCAGAGCTTCATATTTAGATGCATCGTTCACCAATCTTAGTGCCTCATCTTTTGAAACCTGGAAGAAACATGATTTAGACCAAGTGACAAGTTTGCAAGAAATGGGATAGCATGCAGCTGACAAGACATTCACAAAATAGTATCTACAATTTACCAGAGAAGAATTGCCAACTTTTTTAGGCTTCCATATCATCTTCAGAGCTGTTGCAATGTCCAGTAAGCTCCAACCCTCACAGCTGATGCCAGACACATCCTTAATGACAGCACCTGCTTCGCGCATGACTAGAGAATATTTCTTCTCAACATAATCACACTCAGACAATGCGTAAGCCGTCGCAACAATTTGTTCATTGACCTGGAGACAAACAAGATTGCTTCATCACTAAAGAAGAGATGCTAAGCACAATTTTTCTACTGAAGTTGCGTCCAAAACTTTGGTCCATGGCAACTAATTAACTAACCATCTCTGGTTTGACATTGCAGCCATAACACTTCAAGAATTCTTGCAATCCCTTACTCGGGAGGCGGTCCTCTTTAGCCAGCTGTGATTTTTCTATAGGTATCAAACCTGGCATGCAATTCTGTATGCCCCACATTACCTCCATCACCCGTTCATTATACAGGCATTCTATTTCCTGGAATAAGTCGCAGCGAAAATCATGATCAAAGTTGCTCAAAGGTATAGGTAAAGCAGGAACTTATGCTCACCAATCTCTCTTCAATGATTTCCTTATATTCAGGCTTTCCGACTGCCATTTTCTTCCCAGGGAGCCACGCCCTGATCATCTCAGCAAGCCTTTCACTGACACCAGTGTTCTGATTAATGGCACTGGACTTGTCCTCAAAAGTTTGGAACTCCATCAGCAAAACAACCTGATGAAGAAATAAAACAAGGGTAGGGGGTAAAACAAAACAATTGATCAAGTATCATGTCATGTCTCTCGACAAGGAGAGGGGGCTGATTCAATAATTATATATCAACCGTAACAATGTACCCATGTTCCAAGTCCTCATTCATCAAAATACCAGTGTAATTCAGATTACGTTCATAAACAAAGGTGCTGCTCTTCATAGAAGCACATCAAACGAATTCTTTACAAATACTGTTACACCCATGGTGGACATTTAGCAGTGGTAGTTTTTGGGCATGCATGCATTCGGGTCCAGGCTACATGCTTTACAACCAGATTTATGAGGGAAAGTTGTGTTAACCTCTTAATTATTTAATTAAGAAGTAATGAAGAATATGTTTGTGTTTCTCCTTCAACACAAAACAAAATAAATTAACAGAAAAGGATGATGCAATCAAGAATGGTGTAAGATAGCTAGTAGAAATTATCATTTGGCGGCAAGCAACATCAGGATATAAAAATCAGAAGCAGGAAACCGAAGGAAAGGAGACACTAACCCCTTTTGCCGTGTTACTGTCAGCGAAATTAAGCCATATGTCCTTCAGGAGACGAGGATAAAACAGAAAAGTAGGTAAATGACATGGACAACAAGAGAAAGCAAGCAAGCACATCAGCAACCAAGGAAGGAAGAACATATAGTACCTCCAGAGATCTAGGTGGGTTAATGAGTGACCCACAAAAACGGAAGACTGCAAAGCCAGAGGGTGTCTCGAACAGAAGCAGCATGTATTCACGGTCAGCTGCAAACAAGTTAGCAGACTTAAGCAAGCATGATTACCAAGAAAAGGAAACACAGAATTCAGATATGAAGCGTGACCACCCCTGGCACGGCCCACAGGATTGGCTGCCCATCATACCCACAATATGGCCTGTTTAATGGGTCATCTTTCACCCTGTGCATCTGCGGGAGCGGGGCGACCCCGTCAAGGTCGCTATTCTCCTCTCGTCCAATGCTTGTGCACGTCTGCTGGGTGTGCTGACCTCCACTCAGATGCCACCGCCTGGGCTTCCCACCACCTGATCCTCCACAGATTTCTAGCGGTAGCCCGGACCAGAGGTGTTTGCGGTGGCAACTGGCAAGCAGTTGATGCTGCCGTTTTGCTGCCTGGAAGTACCAACTCAGCTGTGCAAGCAAAGCAGAGGCGGGAGTGTGAGAAACCAATAAAGCAGAGGCGGCAGTATGATGTTGTGTGCAACCACGCAACTGTTCCAGAAAATTTCAGAGCAAACCTAGAAACCCACGAACTGCGTGGATCCACGTCGTGTGCCTAAGGTAAGTGTAGTATTATTGGTGAGATCGCGGTGGGCGGAACCACGAATCACATCCGCGTGGGCGATGTGCCACTTGTTCCGTGCCTCAGCCAAAACACTACCAACACACCCACTAACCGCGGATCTATGCATGCCTCCCTCTTTACAACCAAGCTCACGATCGAACCCTAACCTAGGGTGTCCGGATCTGTGGGTTCGAACCAAAACTGGTCTTGTGAACGCCCCTACGGCGGGTATGTGCTCCTACAAATCTAGGGTTTCCTTTCGCATTCCTACTAAAAATTTCCCTGCCAAGTAGATGAGATTGGGAGACGAGGATGACGGCGGGCGAGTGGCTCACAAGGGCGTGAGGGTCGCGACGGAGCAGGAGCGCCCCGGCGTCGCCTCTTCGTCGCCAGATGAGAAGATGCTGAGGAGAATCGCCTCTTCATCGCCGGAGAAGAGGAAGTGTCTTTTTTTTTTTTAACTGGAGAAGAGGAAGTGTAAGGATCTGAAAGCTTAGGAATAGAGCATGCTTTGATGGAAAACTTGTGAAATCCCTAGCTGAGTTTATCTGCTATGCTTCTTCTTTCCTTCGATATTTGGCAGGCCTTCAAAATGAGGAGGACACAAGGATGGTGGAGCAAGGAGTTGATTGCTTGCAAGGTGAGGCGCTAGGGATGCACACAGCGAATCCGTCGTCTAATGGCGATGGCCCTTCGATGCTGGAAGACGAAGAGAAGATGCAGGAAGACGAAGAGAAGAGGAAGTTGAGGAGAAGCTCGAGGTTTGCGAGCCGCGTGTGATTTTAGGGACTCGAGTCGATTAGATTTAGGAGAGACGACGGATCGATGCTTCTTTTTTCTTTTCTTTTTTGAGGCAAAGGATCGGTGCTTCGTGAACCATACAAGCCCACACGCACCTCCTGCCCGCCTTTTTTTAGGGTTATTAATGTTGCCGCGTTTATTTAACCAACATAGCTCATACCTTACAAAGTTCTTCTCCTACCCCTGCTCTAGCTAATTTATATGCAGCAACATTCCCCGACCGACTGACCCAAGAAACTTTAAAATCACTCCTAGTATGCAACATCTTTTTGATCTCCTGAATTCATGGTCATGCCGCCGAATAGTTTTGACTGAGTTGATTGATCATTTGCACCACAGCCTTGCTATCTAGCTCAGCATGGACTCTTTGCGTTCGTCTACACTCCTTACTTTTACTAGTAGAAAATTGACCGTGGGTTGCACCGGGGATACACTTGCGCTATTAAAACGTTGTTATGGTAGTGAAAACGGGCAAAGAAGAAAACAAGAATAGATTATATGTGATTTTACCTCCTCAGCAGAGCCTAGTTCATGGACATGGAGTTTCTTAGCCCGAACTCACATGAGCTCGGGTGAACAGTAAAATCGAAAAAAAACCCTAAATTTTTTTAGTGACAAACATTGACAAAAGTTTTCAACGCTTGCAAAATTTCATCGTTGAATGACTTTTGTAGAAGTTATGGCTAAAAAACAAAATCGGCTCCAAAAATGTCAATTCCAAAAGCATTTTGGAGTGATGTTTTTTTTGCCATGGCTTCCACAAATGTCGTTTCACGATGAAATTTTGCAAGAGTGGAAAACTTTTGTCAATGTTTGCCACTAACAAAATTCAGTTTTTTTGAATTTATTTTCAATATTTTTTGATTTAACTATCCACGAGAGCTCATTTGAGCTTGCAGGACAAGAAGAGTACTTTGACTAGTTGATGCCCTTTGCTCTGCATCACTAACAAATGATGTCATGTCACAAACACCGATGCCTAAGATGCTTCCAACGATTCACCCAGTTTCGAATGTGAAGCCTGATCGTCCACCGTCTCCATTGTGGCACACAAGGCGGCATAGTCTGGCAGCCAGCCTAGTGAGTGTGTGGCCTACACGATGCTAAGCGCGGCTGAGAAGGTCCTGGAGGTATCGACCAACCGGCCAATGTCACCCCAGGCCTCCTACTCCTCATCTATCCAAGAATTTGTCCTATGGGAACATGTGAGACAACTTCCGTACCGATGACCCACAAGTATATTGGATCTATCGTAGTCCTTTCGATAAGTAAGAGTGTCGAACCCAACGCGTAGCAGAAGAAATTGACAAGCGGTTTTCAACAAGATATTCTTTGCAAGCATTGAAATTATCGGTAACATATAGTTTTATGATAGGATAGTTTATAACGGGTAACAAATGTAACAACGGTGCAGCAAAGTGGTCCAATCCTTTTTGTAGCAAAGGATAAGCCTCGACGAACTCTTATACAAAGCAAAGCGCTCCCGAGGACATATGATAATTACTGTCAAGTTAGTTTTCATCATGCTCATATGATTCGTGTTCGTTATTTTGATAATTTGATATGTGGGTGCAATGGTACATCGAGGTGCTATATAAACAGTTTTTAACCCCTTTCCGCGATGACGTTTTGAACCATCGCAAAGTGAGTGTGGGCGATAGAGGGTCCTTCCCACATGACCTAGAAAACGTCGGGGATAGGCCCTCCGGTCACACACGCTGGACAAAATGAGGTCGTTTGCGACGGGCGAGCGATCACAGATATACGTACAGTTGTGTTAAAAATATATAATTATACATGCCCAATCGTTTCCGGTTGTAAGAACATCCCACACAGTCAGTCCCGGCTACATGTTTCCCTCATATGTACATTCCACACAATCAATCCAAGAAATGCGTTTCCGTTAGTATGTACATCCCACATAGTTAATCCAAGAAGTACATTTCCGTTCGTATATACATCCCACACAGTCACTCCAAGGAAAACGTTTTCGTTCGCAGGTACATCACACACAATTTTTCTCATTAAATTGTTTGTGATAGCGTTGCCATTACAGACGATATTAACAATTTTATTATTTGCATTATTGAATGCATCACACACGGTGCGTCGAAAAAACTGTGTGGCATAGGTTGTCCATCACACACACTTCTTATGTGGTAAAAATTTGCGTTGTTGGAGATATGCCCTAGAGGCAATCATGTATGATGATATTTCCTATGTGTTTATGAATAAAGTGTTGGGGAATGTAGTAATTTCAAAAAAAATCCTACGCACACGCAAGATCATGGTGATGGCATAGCAACGAGAGGTGAGAGTGTTGTCCATGTACCCTCGTAGACCGTAAGCGGAAGCGTTATGACAACGCGGTTGATGTAGTCGTACGTCTTCATGATCCGACCGATCCAAGTACCGAACGTACGGCACCTCCGAGTTCAGCACACGTTCAGCTCGATGACGATCCCCGGACTCCGATCCAGCAAAGTGTCGGGGATGAGTTCCGTCAGCACGACGGCGTGGTGACGATGATGATGCTCTACCGGCGCAGGGCTTCGCCTAAACTCCGCGACGATATGACCGAGGTGGAATATGGTGGAGGGGGGCACCACACACGGCTAAGGAACGATCCGTAGATCAACTTGTGTGTCATGGGGTGCCCCCCTGCCCCCGTATATAAAGGAGCAAGGGGGAGGGGGCGGCCGGCCTCCTTGTTTGAGTAGGAGAACGGGGAAAGAGGGGGAGAGGAGGAAGGAAAAGGGGGCCGCACCCCTTGTCCAATTCGGACTAGAGGGGGGCTGCGCGCCTCCTTCCTTTCATCCTCTCTCCTCTATTCCCGTATGGCCCAATAAGGCCCATATACTCCCCGGCGAATTCCCGTAACTCTCCGGTACTCCGAAAAATATCCGAATCACTCGGAACCTTTCCGAACTCCGAATATAGTCGTCCAATATATCGATCTTTACGTCTCGACCATTTCGAGACTCCTCGTCATGTCTCCGATCTCATCCGGGACTCCGAACTCCTTCGGTACATCAAAACTCATAAAGTCATAATATAACTGTCATCAAAACCTTAAGCGTGCGGACCCTACGGGTTCGAGAACTATGTAGACATGACCTAGAACTATTCTTGGTCAATAAACAATAGCGGAACCTGGATGCCCATATTGGCTCCTACATATTCTACAAAGATCTTTATCGGTCAAACCGCATAACAACATACTTTGTTCCCTTTGTCATTGGTATGTTACTTGCCCGAGATTCGATCGTCGGTATCCAATACCTAGTTCAATCTCGTTACCGGCAAGTCTCTTTACTCGTTACGTAATGCATCATTCCGTAACTAACTCATTAGCTACATTCCTTGCAAGGCTTATAGTGATGTGCATTACCGAGAGGGCCCAAAGATACCTCTCCGACAATCGGAGTGACAAAACCTAATCTCGAAATACGCCAACCCAACATGTACCTTTGGAGACACCTGTAGTACTCCTTTATAATCACCCAGTTACGTTGTGACGTTTGGTAGCACCCAAAGTGTTCCTCCGGCAAACGGGAGTTGCATAATCTCATAGTTACAGGAACATGTATAAGTCATGAAGAAAGCAATAGCAACATACTAAACGATCAAGTGCTAGGCTAACGGAATGGGTCATGTCAATCACATCATTCTCCTAATGATGTGATCCCGTTAATCAAATGACAACTCATGTCTATGGCTAGGAAACTTAACCATCTTTGATTCACGAGCTAGTCAAGTAGAGGCATACTAGTGACACTATGTTTGTCTATGTATTCACACATGTATTATGTTTCCGGTTAATACAATTCTAGCATGAATAATAAACATTTATCATGAAATAAGGAAATAAATAATAACTTTATTATTGCCTCTAGGGCATATTTCCTTCAGTCTCCCACTTGCACTAGAGTCAATAATCTAGTTCACATCACCATGTCATTTAACACCAATAGTTCACATCGTCATGTGACCAACACCCAAAGGGTTTACTAGAGTCAATAATCTAGTTCACATTGCTATGTGATTAAAATCCAAAGAGTACTAAGGTGTGATCATGTTTTGCTCGTGAGAGAAGCTTAGTCAATGGGTCTGTCATATTCAGAGCTATATGTATTTTGCAAATATTCTATGTCTACAATGCTCTGCACGGAGCTACTCTAGCTAATCGCTCCCACTTTCAATATGTATCCAGATTAAGACTTAGAGTCATCTGGATCAGTGCCAAAACTTGTATCGACGTAACCCTTTACGACGAACCTTTTGTCACCTCCATAATTGAGAAACATATCCTTATTCTACTAAGGATAATTTTTGACCACTGTCCAGTGATCTACTCCTAGATCACTATTGTACTCCCTTGCCAAACTTAGTGGTAGGGTATGCAATAGATCTGGTACACAACATGGCATACTTTATAGAACCTATGGCCAAGGCATAGGGAATGACTTTCATTCTCTTTCTATCTTCTGCCGTGGTCGGGCTTTGAGTCTTACTCAAATTTCACACCTTGTAACACAGGCAAGAACCTTTTCTTTGATTGTTCCATTTTGAACTATTTCAAAATCTTGACAAGGTATGTACTTATTGAAAAACTTATCAAGCAT